ATATGATTTCAATAAAAATGTACCATATATCTAATATATGAAATTAATGGTGAGTATTTTATTTAATAATATATATATCGTAATAATATGTATTTTAAAAATAGATGAAATATTATGTAGAGTTCAAATATTATAATAGTTCAAATAAATTTTTATTTATTTGAACTATTCCTAGAAATCTAAATGATCTTTTATTTTTTTAAATACTTTCTATTAAATTTCTTTATTGCATATCATATTATCATTTATGTATCAATCTATATATAAATTATTTTTCTTGCATTAGCTTACATTAATTTCTAATTAAAAGAATAGAATAATTTATCAATTATTTTTTAAAAAATTTTATATATTATGCTTTCATTGCTAGGATGTAAATATTCAATCCTTGGATAATATAAATGATACATATTTAGATATATTTAATAAATTTTTTATTTTTTTATATTAACAAATATTCAAATCTTTATATATATTTATACTTATATATTTTTCTCACTTAATAAGCATTATTATTTATTTACATTCATAGTAATAACTTTATATTTTATAATATTAAATATATTTAAATGCTAAATAATTATTTTATAGTAAATTTCTATTTATTATTTCATATTAAAAATAATCTACATATAAATTTGTATTAGATTATATTAATATGTATTATTCTATTAATATATATTATTATATACTTATTTATATTATTATTATTATATACTTTTGTATTAATAATAAATTATTATTAATAATAATAATAATTAAATTAAATTAAATTAATAATAAAAATTAAATTATTATTATTAATAATAAAATATTATATAATTTTGTATTAATATTTATGTTATATTTTTGGCATTATAAATTATATATAAATAGATATATTCATTTAGATATGTAAATTGAAATTATTTAATTTCAACTTTAAATAAATCTAAACTAAAATTTATGTAATAATAAACTCATTATTGGTAATTCAGGGACAGCTGGATGATATATGATATATATTCATTTTATGGTTATAATAAACTATGATATATTATCTTGAAATTTATTTTGAAATGAAATATTAGAAGATATATTGAAATCTTTCTTTCAATATTCCTTATGAATAATAATATTTTTATATTTATTGTTATGAAATTAATTAGAAATAAAATCAAGATAATTGTAAATCAAGTTAATGTATATATTGTAAATCTTGATTATTATCTTATTTTTACAATTTTGCAAAAATTGCAAATTTATTCCAAATATTTTTTAATTAATAGCTTTTAAAGATATTTTTAATTTGTATTATCCAATTATATTTTCATTTAAGATTTTTTATATTCAAATCTTCTAATCTTAGAAATATCTATAGTTAATATCTTATATATAATATGATATAATATCTTTACAAAATTTAAAATGAATTTTAGAATTTCAATCCTTCTATTAATTCTATTCTCTTTATATAATTTGTACATTGTACATTGTCAATGTATATTAAGATAATCACAGTTTTTTTTGGTAGTAGAATTGTACTTTTTCTATTTCAGAGAAATGTTATGTTTATAATTATGTTTAGGATTATGTTCCATGTTTATGATTAAATAAGATTTGAAATGTTTCAAATTACTTTGAATTTGAAAATGCAGAAAATTCAAATTATTCATATGATTGAATATGGTTTTAAAATCATATGTAATGTATTTTTACAATATTATTTATAAATATTCATAAAATTAAAAATCTATTAATCAAATGGATAAAATAGCAATTATACTAAAGAAAAAATACATCAAAACCAATATTTAAGTTTTATAAAAAATTGCTATTTTAATTTATTAAAATAATTAATTATTATTTTACTATAAATATTTAATATCCAAATATATTTGGATGCAAAAAATATTTGTGATTTTCTAATATTATTTTATTATATGAAGTTTAATAAAAAAGTTGTTCATATTATGTTATTTATATTGTATAATAAATATTCTATTCAAAGAAATAAATTTGAATTCATTTCTTTTATAATTACTAAACTAAACTAAAAATATAGATTAAAATAGAAAAAATTAAGCATATGTTAATGTCTGAATATTATTATAAGAAATGTATGATGTGCAAGTATTATTTTGAGAAAACCATAGTAAAACTTTGAAAATTGTTAATTAATTATATTTATTTAAACAAAAAAATTGTTTTCTGCAAATTTTTATAATTTTTAAATATTAAAAATGATTAAATGGTGACTAATATAATAATCTTCAACATGAGATTTCTGTTCTGATGGGCAAATGATCATACTTTTTTTATGAGCTAATATTAGCGCATTTAATATCTATCTATAATAAGTTTGGACATTCTTCAGGTTCACAGAATGCAAAAGTAAAATAAAATCATCTGCAGATAACTGAAATGCAATGATCAAGTTACAATGATAGCAATATCAATATTATATTTATTATCTATCGTAATTTCGATTGTCCAAGAATTATATTTTATTTCTATATTCTGCAGGTTCGAAGAATTCTAAAAATATCCAAGCTGTAAATTGATACATTGATTTTTATATATTAACAAAGAGATACGAAGAAGTACAAAATCTTGAATAAGTTGGCTGTAAAAATATGCATGATGCTTGGATCAATGATAAAACAGTCATTTAAAAAGGATTTGAATACATGAATTTTTATTTTTAAAAAATTAATAAAAAAATTTATTTGTTAGACATATATCTAAAAATAAAATTCAAAAATATAACGTACATGTAACAATCGAATGCTCGAATATTTACTTATTTCGTTTTATACACAGATCATGAATACAAATCCTTGAATAAATAACTTTTTTTTATATTTTACTTCGTAAATTCTTTTAATATTAATATTGTTTTTCTTAATATTAAATTTTGACACACATTATCTTAACATTTTTTATCATTTATGCAGTTTGGTTCATTATTTTCATTTTGTAATTATATTATACATATGAATTTTTTAATTTTTCGTCCAATTTATTAACTATGTCCAATTTGTTTCATTTCGAAAATTTCCCGCATTAAATCAATTTTATTACCGCGTCACATTTCGATTGTTTTCACTTTGATTTTATTGACATGTCACGATAAAGTTATGTATTATTTCATATAGTCGCTATTTTTTGTTAATAATTTGTTAATAAAATCGAAACGAAAATTTTTATAAAGAAAAAATTACTTGAAATTATGTACTTCAGAAATCTGTAGTAATTAAGAAACTTTTGGAATGTTTATATGTACATACTTTGTATATGTACATATATCATTTTCAAAAATAAAATAAATATAATTCTTATGTTGTTAGTAAATCATAGAGAATTTAAGAAAGTCTGCTGTTTTTCAAGATCGATATTTTGAAACGAAAGATTAATTCAGACATGTCTAGTAATTTATTTGAATGATGAATTATCATTTATTATTAAATGTTTTAATGTATAAAAAAATATGTGAAATTTTTGGAGAAAAAAGAATAATCGACTAAAATAAATAAATTGTCAGAAATTAAAAAAATTTATAAAAAGAACATATACATAATTAAAGTTATAATTTATAAAAAAAACATTTTTATTTATCTTTAATTTATATCTCTAATTTATCTTTAGTTTTAAATTCATAATATTATAACTTGTAGTAATAATAATTTCTCAATCTCACATTCTTTTCATTTCTAGCAGTTTATTATTATTTTCTATTTCATTATAAAATTACATATATTTTTATAATTATATGAATAAATAAATAAACATATTTTTATAAAATATGAATAAAGAAATACATTCAGATAAATGTAGTCAGTTTTTAATAAGTGATGAAAGATTTCGACTAGAAATATCAATCAAATGAATTTCTACTCAAATAAATCGTTTTAACAATCTAAATCTTAGTATTCGGTAAGTTATTAAATTATATACTATTCGATTAAATTATTGAACATGTCTAAATCAACATAAATTTTTATAAAGTATGTCTATGTTAATAACTTTAATATTTCATTTATGTTTATAATTTTAAATTAGATATGATATTTAGAAAACTATTTCTAATACAATAATTTAAAGATAATTTGTACTTTAAAGTTAAGATTAATTAAAGTTTAAAGCTAACTTTATTTTGAAATATGAAAAATTGTTAACTTTTCTTATACTTTTTAATAGTTTTTGACGAGTAAAATCCAAAAATTTTAATTTTAAATCAATAAATTCTCTAATTCAAAAGTTATTTGTATATAAAGCTAGTGATTTTAAATGTATTTGACAAATTATTAGAATACCATATTGGTTTCTATCCATCCATAGTTCGTCTAGAAATTTGCTAGAGATTGAATTATAATGAGTGGAGTCATTACTTCTTGTGAATAAATTTATTAATATTTTTAAAGTATTAAATTGATCAAGCTAAATTTTTCTTAATTATTAATATAATACTAACAATTTTTATTACTATTATTTGAGTTAAGTTATTTTTTATTTATTTTAAGTTTTAAGTAGATTTTTAAATTTAAAATTAATATTTTTGCTTATTATTCATTGAAAATTATTAAAAGATAATTTTATATGCCTCAAAATAAATAAATAATTTATTTAAATAAATAAGATTTAAATTCAAAATTCAAAATTTTATTTTATTTTATGCATTTTGTATTTATTATAATATATTAAATACAATACATTTTGTATATAATATAGATAATTTGATATATATTGCATTTTTATAATTTAATTTATAATTTAAATATATATATATATATATATATTTAAATTATATATATATATATATAAATGATATTGAGTTTTGAATGATATAGTTTTAAAAATTAAATAAATTTTATTAAAAAATAATAATAAAATTAATTTAATGTTCAATTAATATAATAATGTATATATGTTTTCTGCATTTTCATTTTATTTATTTTATAATCTAATTAAAAGTAATTAATTGTTATTATTTTATTTCTTTTTCTTTATATAGGATGTCTTAGAATGGTCTTAATTAAACGTACAATTAAATGAAAATATTCTACAAATAAATGTAAGTTGAAAGAAAAAAACTTATTTATTTGCAATCTTTTGAAACTTTTTTTTATTTTGTTAATAATTTAACAGTATATCTCAATGTTACATTTTACTTTTATTACAATTCTTTTATATAAAAAATTATAAGATAATAAATTCAAATTATGTATTGTAACATTATTGTATGTATTATTTGTAAATTACAAATTATATATATATTATTTGTAAATTACAAATTATGTATGTTTATTTTTTATTATTCATTTAAGCAGATTACTTATATTTTCATATTAATTTTTTAAATTTTTTGTTTCATTTGATTCATTTTATTTTAGATAATGTGTTTAATCATTTTTTTAAAAATTTCTGTTTTAAATGCAATTTTTCAAAATCATATATGATGTGATTTTTTTTTTAATTTCATTTAGTATTTGTAATATTGTTAGTAATATTTCATTTTCTACTTTTCTTGTAATATATTTTCTTGTTATTTTTACATATATTAATATTTTATTTTTGTTAAGTTTCTCATTTTTGATATGTTTATATATTATTATATTTATATGTAATTGTTTAATTTGTTTTTTAATTAATTGAATTTATAGTATATTGTTTCAAAATTTTTAATGAAATTGAAATTTATAGTTTTATTGAAAATAATAATAATAAAAGCTTGAAAATATTCACTAAATGTTATTCATTAAAAAATAAAATAAAAATTATTACAATTACTTGATTTAATTAATTTAATTTTTTATTATTAATAATTCATTTATTTTTTATAATTATGATTATCAATTATATTTTTTTTACACAAAAATTGTTTTTTCTTTTGATTCAATCTTTTCCAAAAATCTATTAAAATTTATATATGTTGGAATCTATTTCAAACCTGTATAAAAAAATTTAATTTTTTTTATTATTATTGTAATATTATTCTAAATTTCTTATAAACAATTTATATCTTTATGATAAGACAATTTATATAAAAATAACAATATGAAATATATTGTATTCAACTTACTTATTATTATTATATTATTATATAATTTTTTTTTTAACTCTAAATTTATGTGTAGTAAATGTTATTCAATATAAAATATTATTTAAAATACATTTAGTTATTTTTTAATAGCTTTATACATTTGTAAACCAGTCATTTGCTATATATACAATAATTTCATTTGCTATATACAACAATTTGATATATACATTAGAGAATGATGAAAGTTGTATTTATTATATTTCATTATACTAACTTTAATTACGTTTCTTTTTTTAAAATAATAAATCAAAGATTAATAATAAATACTTTTTGTATCAATTTAGATTTAATGTTAATAATACATTTTTTAATATTTTATATTCTTTTCTCTTATATACTTTCTTCATATTGTATATAAATTTATTTCTATTGCTAAGTTAGTATTTATTTAAATTTTTTTACTTTCTATCTTTTTATTTATCTTTATTTATTATTTTTAATTAACATATTTTTTAATTATTTTTTTTGATTTGTATCTAATAGTACAAATATTGTTTTTATTATTTTTATTTTTCTGTTTTCTTTTACTTGTTTTATATTTGTTTTATTATTTTATATTTTCTTTTTTATTTTTTTTTCTCTTTTTTCTATATTTAAAATTTTTTTATATTTTAACTTTGTATTTAATTGGCTAAATATTATTAGTATTCTATGGCATATTTCTGCATTTTTATTGTTTATATCTTAATTATTTTAATATTTATATCTTTTTTATATTTAATTTTTTTTTTATTTTTGCTTTGAAATAGAAGAGTTTTCCTTTAAGGACTTTCTTCTTATTACATCTTGAATTATGATGCAATTATTTTATTCTCTTTCATCTTTGTAATTTTTTTTTTTTATAAATCTTTTTAAAATTTTTTCTTTTCATATTTTTGTTTTATCTGTTGGTAGAATTAAATAGAATTAGTAGAATCTTATTATTTTATAATATTATTTNTATTATAGTTTTTTTATTTTATATTATATTTTTTAGGTCCTTCTCTAACTTCTACAGATTTGTATTAAATATATTTTATCATCGTGTAAGGTAAGTTTTTATAAGTTTTTATAAGTTCTTATAAAAATAAATATAACAAAATATATTTTGTTATAGAGTGGTAAATTTTTTTTTGCTATTTTTATTAATTTATATATAATTTATATATATAACCCTTAAAATAATTAGCAAAATTGAAAAATATCAAAAAGATGTTTTATGTATTATTTTTTATTACTTGATTAATTTATTTTATGATAGTAAATAAAAGGATATAATTTTAATTTTGAAAAAATGAATAAATTCTTTATTAAAGAGTTCATTTTTTAAAAATAAAAAAATATTCAGAACTTAATTTTTTATTCAGTAATTCAAAATAAAATAATCTAGATGTTGGTTTTTGGTTTAGGATATAACTGCCAAACAAAAGTTTAAAAATTTTATTTTAAACTTTAATATTATTTTATTAGTTTAGAAATTATAATTATATATTTTTATAAGTTACATAAAAAAAGTTGCAAATTCTGCTTTATAAATGGGCAACATAAAATCACTATAAAATCATTTCCTAGGAGGATCATCGTGATAATTGTTTTTGGTAAAACATCCTATCCTGACGGGAAGCCCGTTGTTAAATTGCTGTTTATTGATGACCAATTCTACTATTCCTATTTCAGAATACATCTCATTGCAAACACACTGGAAGAAGTAATCGGAATATTTATTTCCTGAAGAGTGAGTCGGATATCCTCTTCGTTTTTTTTAACAATTTTAGGATCCAAAATTAACGATAGAGAGTGATATATAAAAAACAGACAAAACAATTTCAACATTCTTACAGAAATTCTTAATATTTTTAATTATTTTCAATTACATTTTTAATATTCATGTAAAATATTTTCCAGTGTAAGGTACTCATATAGATTAATTGTATAGAACAATTTGATTTTTTCTAAAATATTTTAAATTAAATCTTAAAATTAATTAATTAAATCTTAAATTATCTTAAAATATCTTAAATTTTTTCATATATCTTAAATTATAGTAAATCAAGTTTAGTAAACTTGATCTATTCTTCATTTCTCTATAAACATAGAATCGTTCTTCAGTTTAGTATCAGAAAAATTTGATCAGCGTAATTCGTGCAAACTTTGAAAGATTCCATGAGATCATGAGAAGTTACAGTTATAATTAATATAATTTTATATATTGAACATGAAATTAGAAAATTAATATATTTTAAACCGATGATACAACTATTGTTGTAATTTAATATTTTAATGTCATTTAATATACTACTAACAGAAAAAAAAAGTAAAATTTTATCTTTTACCAAGAAATAGAATCAGATTTATAAAAATTTATATTCTCTTTAATATTTTTATAATATTAATTTAATATAAAAATTGCTAATATTGTAATTTTTCCTTATTTATACATCATGTTTGCATCTATCTTTGATTAACTTTATTTATATATTATATAATATATTATTTATTTATATATATAAATATTTATTATATTTTTAAATCTTTCTTATTTATCTATTTAATTATTTCATTTTTCTAATTCATATTCTTATTTATCTAATCATTCTTTATTCATTTTTTTTTATCATATATCTTTTCCTGTACTTATAATCTCTGTAACAATTCTTATTCATTTAAATTCATTTTTTCGAACTTTGTGCATTCTCTACATATGTTTTTCAGTATTCCTTGGTTCTTTTTGTATATATAATAATTTATATTATTGAATAAAATCAATATTCTTAAATTCATTCTCTTAATGAATAAGATTTTTAAAGCATTGTGAAATGGTTGATTTATTATACAAAAAAATGATTATTGTAGAATGAAAATGATTTTATATTATCATCAGAATGAATTTATGTATTGGATTAAAAAGAATCCATAAATGGAAAACATTAAATGATGATTTATTTTAGCTGCTTTATAAACATTAAAACGATAAAATTATAGATTTACATTATTGGACTTAAATTCCTTTTTTTATATTCAAAATATTTAGTTTCTATGAATACAGAATAAAAAAGAAAAGATACATATATTTACTATGCTATAATAGTATAATAAATAGTATGAGAAAATACAAGTTAGATATAATACCTATGTGAGACTAGATTTATATTTAATGTTTTATAAAATATTATAAAAATTTAATATAATATTTTTTAAGATTTATGTTTATTATTATAGAGTTATGATTGTCGTAATTTTCTCATAAATATTATAATCTTTATTAATTTTTTTATTATTTTTTATTAATTTAACTTAGTTTTTAATAAAATATTATATGATGTATCAATCAGCCATGATTAAAAAATAATTTGATGTAACTGATTACGTACATATGCATTCTTTTCAAAGAAAAAAAAATATTCTTATCTTTTTTCAATTAAATTATTTACTTTTATTAATTTTATTGTAAATTAAAAAATATCATTAAATAAATACAGATTTATTTAATATAAATTGGAAATAATTTTTTAAAAACTTGTCAGTTTCGAGTTACAGTTAATAAAAAATTAAACATGAATCCTATTTTTTAATTCTATAAATTTTTCACATATAATTTATCTAATTATTATTATTAAATCAACTTCATTTTTAAATCAATTAAAATAAAATAAAATTTAATTTTTTTTCAATATTAATTTTTTTTGCTCTTATTATTTTTACTTGTAAAGCTAATTTATTTTATAAACTAATATAAGCTAATACAAACAAAATAAATAAATTAAATTCTTTTTTATATAGATATTCTTGAAATATTGGTTGGTGCAAAAATAATTGCGATTTTTTTTTGAATTTTAAAGTAATTTATTTTACTTTTATATTATAAATTTTCAATCCATATAAGAATTGTTTTACATTTTCAATATAAAACAAGTTTCAATTATGTTAGAAAATATCAATTCCGAAATGAAATGGGTAAATTCGTTAATAATCGTTAATGGGCAATATTTCATTAATAAGTTTTTGTTATTTCGGATTCTTTGTTGAAAATCGTTCGATTTATAATCATTGAAGTTATCATACGAAGATTTTTCTGTTCAAAGCGTTGCATTTTTGATAGAATACGCATTGGTAGAGAAATATATCTCGGAGAGTGATCACTGATACAAAATTCTATTATATAAATGATAAGGATCGTGTTTCACAATCTACAGAATGGAAAAGTATTTGTGATTCAATAAACTTTTTTCTTCGTGATTTAGATGATCATATCACTTGAATTCTTTGTTTGAAATATATCGAAAACAGAGACATGGTTTGGAAAGATTTATCTTTGTATATTCGAGAGATGAAATCATTAATGAAACTAATCCGAGTTTACTCTATTAGCGATTAGTTATCGCGATCGATTATCGTAATTCATAAATATGATTGATATAGTTAAATACTATGCAGTTATTAGAAAATGTATAGTATATGCTCTCATTCTACTTCTCTTGCTATCACAAGCATTGGCTAAAGATCAATGAGGTAAAGATTGACGATGGATATAATATATCGTGACAAAATGAAATTGAATTATTTCATATTGGCCTCCTAGTTAAAGTATCAAATTCAAATTAAATAAACAGAATTCCTTATTTTTTATTTATTGCCGCTAATCCGATGAGATTCTTTGAATGAACAAATTAAACGTTATTTTAACATTTTTATAATTAATGTCTTGAAATTTATTTAAAAAAAATTAATTTATATTTTAAAAATTAATTGCTTTCAAATTCAATTGTAAATAAATTTTGTGCAATTATAATTTATATAAAGACAAATCATATTGAAATTGAATAATTTTATAATTTTTTTGTATAATTTTATAATTTATAAATATAGATTTACTATTTTACTATAGATCATATTTTTTTACTTCGTTAATTTTTTGAATAGGAATTGTTCTTTGATGAAACTATTTTGGTTTATTATCTCGATCTAATGATAATAATTCATTCATTATTTTTTTAAATATATTATCTTATTCAATATTATTGCTTCATGTTTTCCATAAGCCGACAATAGTTTTCCTATGAAATGGATGAAATCTCAACTTCTTTTCTAAGTTTGTATTATTCATTTATTCATGATATTATTGTTATAATAATATAATTATAATAATCAATTATTTTGTTTTAAAAATTTAAAATAGCATCAGTTATAATTATATATTATATAATAATATATATTTATTTTTAAATATATTTCTCTTCAATTTAGAATATTTGGTTTTTTAATTAATACTTTTTGAATGCCTTTGCTTTTCTTGCATCTTATCTTGAATCTTATATTTTTTCATAAAATATGCAAAATTATTTTTTATCATCAATTTTTTTTATTAATTTATAAACAATAATTTTCGTAATACTTCTTTTTTTTATGAATTATCTCTTTTATTATCTTTTTCTTTCCTTATTATATTTTTCTTTCCTCTTCAAAACAATGAAATTTTCTTTTGTTCCAGATCGTTTTTTCTCTAATGATAGTAATGATTTTTTTTTTTCAAAACTTTTTTTCTGAATTCTAATTATGGTTCGTATAGATAAATTGCTATATTCGCGAATATGATTGTTTGCTTAATGGATAGAGCTTCTTAATAATAAGAAGATTTCTTATTATTAGCTTTTATTAATAAAAAAATTAATAATATTAAAAATGATGTTAAATTAAATTATATAAAAATATTCAAATGAAAAATATAATATGTTATATAAAATTTATTGGTTGGAGAATTATTCTAAGAAAGCTGATATTTTTGGCATAAATTTTTCTTTATTTTTAATATAATATATATATATAATAAAAATATATATAGAATTCTAATTATAACATTAACAATTAAGCAAATCTTGAATTTTTGAAGAATTAATTTAAAGATGTGATTTCATGAATCATGATCTATTATCAGATGTTTTAATCAAGCGATAATATTTTCTATATCATAAATAACAAAGAAAAAATATTTAAATTCGAACCAAATGACTTCTTTTAAGATGTTAGAAGAATTAGTTTATTAGATAATATGAATTTAAAGAATATATTTTTAAAGATTGTTATTGATCGAAAAAAAAATTACAAATCATGATTTTTAACTTTTTTATCTGAATCTATAATGAAAATTTAAAATGTTCTTATATTTCTTATATTCTTAGATCTAAAAAAGTTATATACATGCATAAAATTTTATCAAAATCGAATAACATTGTTATTGCAACATTAAATAATGATATATGATATTCGCAGTTTTTTACGATTAAAATTTTACATTTTTCTATAATGTGATACTATTTAAAATAATTTTTAAATGAACTCCTTTTTTTTTACAAAAATATTATAAAAATAACTTTGCTTTTTTTTCATCGAAAACATTAAATTTGGAATATACTGTATAATCTTTAGTTTTTCTTTTAGATAATTGAAAAATGAAATATGTCTTTTTCTAAGCATTGCTCTTTGTCACTTTGGATATTACAAATTTGGATGCACAGAAATTTCCAATTAATTTTATTTGTAACTCTTTTCAAAATTATTACGTGTATTAATATTTTTTATTGTATATTCTTTGTAATATGCATAATAGTCAAAACACTAAAAAAATAATTTTTTCAATTAAATTGTTTTTTGCATGAAATAATATGATACATATGTATTATATTTGCAAATATCAATATTGTCTATGTTGTTAATGAATAATCGAAAATCACGCTTGATTTCGTTACTTCAAATGCTCCTTAATACTTAATAATCTTTTTTTTAATTAAGTCAATGTAATCAATTCATACGTTTTATACTTAGCATGATCAAAGTTTTTCTTCTTTGCAATAATTTTTGCTTTGACCCATTGCTAATTTAGGTTTTCTTATTTTCCTCTTCATTTTTCACTCTTTTTCTCTCTTCAATTATGATTCCTATTAGAAAACATTGCTGCTTTAAAAATTCAATATCAAGTTCAATATTGAATGATAATCATGAATGAATATGAACCAAATGATAAGCAATAGTTCAAATATCAATTTACGAAAATGATCATATAACTAAAAAAATTATCCTATTTATAAATAATAAATCGGATTTAAGCCATTCCATTATAATTTTTCCATAATAAGAAAATAAGAAATAATTAGAAATAACTCGTTCAAGCATGCGAGGATTTTTGTTTATTTTATTATTTTATTTGTCTTGTAAAATTTCATGTCTTATCTTTTTCATGCCAATTGTATCTAACATTTCGAATTGCCAGAATAAAACTTCATATTACCAATGTTGGCATTCCAAGTGCTAGTAGGCAATATTTTGTAGATTATAATAGTTTTGAACCATCTAAATAAAATTTTCTTTTCATTGGAAAAAATCACCTATTTTTCCTATTTTTTTATTTTTTATAATATATATATCTGAGCGAATTTTGATTTTTTTATGTTACACGAAATAAAGTTTTATTTATATAAAATAAAATGACATTTTGCGTGATCTATAATTGTTATATATAAAACAAAGTATTATATAGTACTAATATAGTAATAATATAGTAATAATATAAATAAGAAACTTGAATGCAAAAGTCTTTATCCATTTAAATTAATGAAATTATTGTTATAATTATCATTATTACTATTTACTAATATTTAGTATGGTACTTTTTAGAAGACTTTTTAGAATAAATTATGGTTTTTAAACATTTAGGCATTGATCTAAATAACTTTTTTGTAAAGTCTAATAATATCTTTATCTATTCCTATATACATCATTGTTTTATTCATCATGATTTTTCGAATATTTTTTTATTTGCCTATAAATATACCTACAAATATTTAATTTATATTCCGTAATTGGAGTTAATATTTCTAAATAATAATATCCATTTTTTAACAATAACAGTTTTTGTGCTTTGTTATCTTACTGGAACATAGTTATTTTCAAATCTAAATTTTTTAGCACTTCGAAGTAAATATTAAGTTTAATATTCAAGTATATCCAATATTTCATAATAATTATAAATAATAAATATTTAGTTATAATATATGTAATGATCAACTCCAGCTAATATATAGCTTCATATAAGAACGACTTGCTTTGTGTTCTACAATTAAATTTTCTTTTTGAAACTCAGTATTATGAAGTTTTTATTTATAAACTTTTTTACTAAGTACATCACAAATATAAAATTTCATCCTTTCGGTGAATATAAAATACTTTTAAAAATCTTCTGATTTTGAAATCTAATTTTTGGCAAATTCTAATCTCTTTTTATTACTTGTATGTTGAATAATTAATAATTAATTCTCTTATTACCACTATTCAAATTGGATAGAGTCACATTAAGAGCCCTTATAGCTTTGCCTAAAAGAAACAGAATTCAGATATTGTATATTTCAGATATTAAAATATAAGGATTTTGCTTAATTCTAAGTATTTAATTTTTGTTTTATAGGATTTATCAATTTCGATTTTTCTTCATAACTTATTTATTTTTTTTATATTCCTTAAATTTTTCTAATATATACTTCATTGTCATTCATATAGATCATTATATATCCATTAATTTTAAAATTTTCATTTTAGATTTTTCTTCCATCCAAAATTTTACAATATATAATACTTTTATTATTATATCATATAATATTTTATTATTATGTCACATGCACTTCAAGGTTATTAGTGAGCACAATGAGGGGACTCGATGATTATCTAAAGTAGATCAATGTCTCAAAAAAAAGTTTAGTATTTTCATTGCAGACTCTTCTTCTTCTAGCATGTCAAGTGAATTCTACAATTTCTATTAGCTTCTTTGAATACTAAACTCTGGCACATAATTAAGATATGTTTTATAGAGTTCCATATATCTGCAAATATTACAGATATTTGGTGCTTTTAATAATAAAGTGAGTGAGTTAAATTCTTTTTACATATATATTTTCTTGTTAAGAAAATATTGTTTCACATTTCTTCCAATTCATTATATTATTATGATTACAATATTTTTTTCTCTTATAACTGAATTCAACTTTTGTTATTATCGATTGCAAAACATCGATACATTCAATTGTTTTAAAATTTTCGTTAGTATTAAATTAATAATAATTAAGTTAATAATAAATTAATAATATTAATTAAATTAATAATATTTGATATAAATTAATTAAATTAATAATATTTGATATAAATATTTAATGAAGATATACTTTTGTTCTAATTTTTCGCCACGTTATAATATATCGTTTAATTTTTCATATATAATAATTATGAATCTTACAAAATGTCATTTTATACAAATAAGTCTTTATTTCTGCATTTTTTTTTTTTTTTTTTACT